TTTACAAGAGCTAGGTTACTGGTGGGCTGCCATACCTGGGTTGTGGCCTTCATGCCTAAGGTATGAACTCAGATCCTTCTTGTGCAGCAAGCATGTTACCCACAGAGCCATCTTCCCATCCTCATAGGTTTATTAAAGAGAGGATGCACTCTGCCCTGAACAAGATGCAGACAGAGCATCACACGGGAAAGAAGGGATTCTGCCATGGGCAACATAATCAGATCCTGAGGACACTCAGGTCCCTGGAGTGTACTCCCTGGACTCAGGCAGAACTTCAGTGGGTTTCCATGATTGGAGTAGAGTTTGGGATTTACATGGACCAACCCAAAGCAGGGGCGGGGCGGGGACCCATGAAACCTGATGACCTTCACACAAACATGCAGGTGAGACACAGCACTAACCCCACTCTCATGTTGATCCTGGTCAGCCTGTGGCACTGAGACAGTGAGAAGTGACATCAGGTGAGCTTCAGATCGGAAGAGCAGAGGCTGACCAGCAGGACGCTGTGCAGGAGACTGGAGCTCACACTGGGCTCCTCAGATCTGCAGAGCCCCACAGTCAGGATGATTTCCCACATGGAGGACCCACAGCTGTCCCACAGCAGTGAATGACTGATGCTCAGGTCTAACTGGGATCAGATGGGGACACGTGTTACCTGTCACAGCTGCCTGCACACGGTGCTCATGTCCTCAGAACATAGGGGAGGCTCATTCACCCTTTCCTCACACTGCGATGTCGTCATCTTCAGGTGGTTGGTTAGAGCAATGAGTTACCACTTAGAACTCCTGAGAGCCTTAGATTCAATGGAGGGAAATAAAATTCTAGAAAAAAGTTGAGGTCCAACTTTTGTGCTATAGTATGCATTTCTAGAGTTTTCAATTGAAAGCCCAGAACTCTACGGATTACCTGTCTCTGAGCCCTAGTGGCCCTCAGAGCAGCACAAGCTGAGAACACATCTTAGGACCACTCCCATGCTAATTCCACTCTGAGGGGGACGCTGAAATGCACACTCCATCTTATTTTACCTCTTTTGTTCAGATGTTTGGTGGTGAACGGAGTTTATTGAGATTACGGCATATGCTGATGGTCGTCTCCACAGAACGCTCAATAAAACCACACAGCCCCAGACTCTGGGATCCAGAGTCTCCCAGACCACATCTGAGGATACAGTTCCTTTCCTTTTTTCTTTCCTTCTCGTTCCTTTGTTCGGTGTGATTGTCCCTCCTCCTCCTCCAACCTCCTGAGATCGATGATTATCACCCTGACTCCCTGGACCTTCCTTTTTCTGATGCACATTACAGTCAGCCCTAAGTGCTGGTCATCAGAGAATGGGAACTCGGAGGGGCTGGAGTCTGTCAGGTTCTCATCAGAGTATTATTTTCTGTAAGAAACATGACACATAAAATGATAGGAGCTCTAGGAATATAGCTCTGTGTTAAAATGTTTGTCTAGCATGTGTGAGGTCCAAAGTTCAAATCCCAGCTCCACACATGCCAAAAAATGATAAGGATTTTGCTCAAAGAAAAGTAAAATTTCTTCCACTCATGGAACTGAAGCATGCGATCCCATGGTTCATTTTCTCCCTTATCAGCTTGCATAGTCTTTGGGAAGGAGGCTCTCAGGACAGTTCCAGTTTCGTTAATCCGAGTCTTGTGTCCAAACTATGTTCTGTTTCAGCAGTAGGGTCTTACCTTCAAGTTCTGGGAGGTAATCAAGGACTGTGACAATACCTGTGTTACAGAGTTGCACAACTGATTACACATAGAGACTGTATGTCTGAGAGATTCCCAAGCCTGTGACACATCTGTGGTAGAACGTATACACCTGAGGCTCACGGAACAGAGTGTAACATTGAACAGAGTATTGATACATCCCAAAACTCTAAACAGTGACGCTTGTCAGGTCCCATAGAATATCTTAACTCATAAGGATGCTCTCGTGATGATCATGCCATGCCACAGACCCAACCAAGAGTTTAATCCCAGCACTTAGGAAACAGATGGAGCTGGATCTCTGTAAGATCAAGGTCAGCCTGGTCTACGCAGTGAGTTCCTGGCCAGCTGGGCTATGAAGACCTTCTATAGAAAGAGAAAAAATAAAGGTTATTAAAAGATGCAAGAGAGATGGTGTTGGCTGGAGAGATTGCTCAGTAGTCAAGAGCACATATTGTTCTTGCAGAAGACCTGGGTTCGAATACCAGCACCCACATGGTGGCTAACAACCATCCATACCTTCAGTTCTAAGGAATCTGACATCGTCTTCTGTCCTCTGTGGGCACTGCATGACACAAGTGCACTCACACACATGCAGGCATAACACTCATAAAACAAAAATAAATTAATAAGTTTAAAAACATTTTAAAGCTGCAAGAGAGAAAGATGTAGTCACTTATAAAGACAGGCCTATCAGAGTAACCAATAGTTACTCAGTAGAATCTTTTAAAGCCAGGGGACTCGGAAAGATGTATTTCTTAAAGATAACTCTTGTGAATCCAGACTATTACAAGTGGAAAAGCTATTAAGGTTGAAGCAGAAGCTCAAACAAGACAAAATCCCAGCACAGGCCAGGGGAAGAACCCAATTCTAGCTGAGAAACTACTGGAAACCGATGGCTCCTGGGAAGGGGTGTCAGTCTGTGTTAAGGCTGTGAATCTTCGTAAGTAAGCCAGGTCCAGTGGATGAAAACAAAGAATGGCCTCAGCACGACAACCACCAGCAGACGTGCAATTGTACAAAACTAAACAGACAAACGCTGGAGCTCAGTAGCATTAAAAATGAAAAGGACCTAGAAGACATCTAGAGAACATTCCACTACATGCTAAAGAGAGCAAAAGCTTCTCCCTTTTCTTCACATCCCGAAAGAAACTAAAGAAAACAAACTCTTCGTGTTGGCCAATGGAAAATTGAAGAGATGTTTTTGGAAA